GTGGGTGGCGGCGGCGGTAGGAGCTGTGGCACAAAGGCCCACAGCACAGTGGAGGGTTTGGGAAGCGGGCTGTCGCACGTGTGAGAAAGTACGTGTATGAGGAGGGGCGAGTGCTGTGGGGCGTGGTGGCAGAGACGGGTCAAGGGGCAGGGACAAGGGCTACAGAACACAGATGCATGACTCCTGGTGCTCAGGGAGCCTGCAGTCTGCAGTGCAGCCAGGACGGACGAGGAGCTACCCTCCTGAGGTCCAGGCAGATGCAAGTTCATGACCACCGCCTGGGCTGCCCCGTGCTTTCCCGCCTCGAGGCAATGCTCATCTTACTGTGACCGCCTCTTCTCCACAGACACAGCCCCTCCCAGACGCGCCCTGCTTCCTTGTTCCGTCCAGGGTGTAGCATCCGTGTGTCCTGGCAGTTCTCATTCTCTTCACGTAGTAGCTTTATTGAGATACAGCCACCAAACTCCACCAGTCGCCCATTTAGAGTGCGGAACCCGGTGGCTTTTAGCGCATTCACAGGTAGGGTCAGGGTAGGGGACATTTCTGTCCTCTCAGAAAGGACCCCCTTACCCTTCAGTCACCATCTCCCTACACCCCTACTCGCCCCTTGTAATGTTTTCAATGTCCCAGCAATTCCTGAAGTGGGCGCTGTTCCCTACGTACCCCAGGAAGCCGGGAGGGCCGAGAAGGAGGGTTGAGCCCCCCTTGCTGGCAACATTGAGATAGAGTGAGAAAGAGACAATAACCCGCTCCTTGCTTGGGGCAGAGGGTGTGACATTAAGGCCGACAGGGAAGGCATAGCCCTACTTTCATCTTGCTTCCGTCTTCTCCATCGAGCGGAAGGATTAGAGGACCTTGCAGAGAGCAGCAGAGAAGGGAGCCAAGCCCACAGCATGGGGCCGACCTCCTGGTGGCTGAGCAGAGCCTGTGGTCTGCTTTGGTTCACCCGCTGGACTGAGTCCCCACTGGGTGCCCGGCACTGGCTGGGCTGTGGGGGGTGGGTGATCAGGCATGGCCGGCCCTGCACCATGATTACTCAGACAATGCAGGCAGCCGACAGGATGGCTAAGAGCATAGCCCCCAGGCAGGGCGTGGAAAGCTCTAGACCAGTGATGGCGAACCTATGACCCGCGTGTCAGAGGTGACCCGCGAACTCATTTTTTTGGTTGATTTTTCTTTGTTCAATGGCATTTAAATATATAAAATAAATATCAGAAATATAAGTCTTTGTTTTACTATGGTTGCAAATATCAAACAATTTCTATATGTGACCCGGCACCAGAGTTAAGTTAGGGTTTTTCAGAATGCTGACACGCCGAGCTCAAAAGGTTCGCCATCACTGGTGTAGCCAATGAGACAGACCTTTAGAAATCACTTACTCCCCTCTGTTTGCTCCTCTTGCCCCCCAGCCCCCACTTCCTTACCATGAGATCATTGAAAAGCTTTACATCTCTGCTTCCCACCCAGTCCCACTCCAATTTTATTCTGTCACAAGTCTCTACCGAGCCTGTAAATCACACATTTCCAGACAGTTTCTCTTCATCCCTTTGGATTTAATGCCTTGTGTCTTATTTTCTCTTCTATGAATCTATTGATCTATCTCCATCCATCCATCCATCCATCATCCATCATCATCCATCTTCCTCCCTTCTTCCTTTGCTCCCTCCCTCCTTTCTTCCCTTCTCTCCTTCCCTCCATTATACATCCCATCTGCCTCTCCAGTTTGCCAAGTTTATTGCTCACTACTGCCCCCTCTCCTCTTCACCGTCCCTAACTGTGAGGCCTGGTTGCTTGGTTAAAGCCCTTTGTCAGGCGAGTTACAGGGATGACATTTTTCTCCGACCCTAGAGTGTGTTTTTCTGACCCCGTCACCACCCTCAGTTCTCTTCCAGGCGCTGCTCTTCTGCGTGTACTTAGAATGTCCTGGCACCACTTCTCTATTCATTTATTTGTTTGTTTTCTGTCTTTCCCACCAGAATGTTAAACTCACTGAGGGCAGCTACGTTGTTTTGTTTTGTGAGTCCTCACCTGAGAATATTTTTTGCGTTGATTTTTAGAGAAAGTGGAAGGGATGGAGGGGGGAGAGAGAAACATTGATGTGAGAATGGCACATCCATTGGTTGCCTCCCACACATGCCCCTATAGGGGCTGGGGATTGAACCTCCAACCCAGGTACGTGCCCTTGACCAGGAATCGAACCCATGACCCTTCAGTGCATGGGAAGATGCTCTGATCATTGAGCCACACTGGCCAGGGCTGGATATTTTCTTTCATTGCCCTTCTTATATCCCCAGTGCCCATGACAGTGCTTGGACCATAGTTGTTTCTTGACAAATAGTTGCTGAACAAATTATGTTTTACATGTCTTCAAATATCTTCCTGTCTTTTGCCCTGACAAGCGAGGATGCCTTGGTGGGAAGAGGAGGGTCCTTGAGCTGCAGTCCTTCCCTGGCCTCGGCCTCCTCAGCCTCTGGTTTCCCAGGCGGCAGACCAGACGCCTGCTGCCAGCTCATTTGTCTGCCCTGTGCACACCCCAATTTGTGCAACATTCCACCTGTGCATGTTTGTCTCCCCAGCAAGCAATCTTGTTGGTGTACCTTCGAGCCCCTGGCAAATGCCTGATGCACAGTATTTGTTGTATAAATACATGGGTGAATGAATCCATGGGTAGTGAAGGGATGGAGGCAGAAAAGACTTTGAGAGTGTGAGAAGGTCCCTGATGGATTCATCACAGCCCTTGAGATGCCAGTGACGGAGATGTTCTAGACCAGTGGTTCTCAAGGTGGGCTGCCAGACCAGCAGTATCAGCCCCACTTGGCAGCTTCTTAGAGATGCAAATTTGGGGCTCCACCCCAAACCCAGCGAATCAAAAACTCTGGGGGTGGAGCCCAGCTAGGGGTGTTTTAACAACCCCCCCCCCCCACCCCACTGGGCCAGTCTCATTGTAGATGGGAAAACAGGCTGGGAGCAGGGAAGGGACTTGTCTAGCTCCCTGGACTGGTGCCAGGTCCCCATAGCGGCTGCCTGTGACCTGCCACCCCAACCACCTGCCTCGCCTGCTCTTGCTGTCTCTTTGTAATCAACACGAACTATGCGTTTGTCCGGTCAGTTCAAAGCACTGCGATTGATTTCTCCTCTTACAAAGGCTCTGGTTTCACCGGGGGTTTTCCAGGACTTAAGAAAATGGGACTTAGAGATGTTTCTATATGGCTTTGAGCGAAGGCAAGGAGCCAGGCGATTGCATTACTGCTCACGGCAGGGGGGCGGGGGTCCTCCTGGGGCGGGGGGTGTAATGTTATAGCTCACTGTGAGGCCCCTGCCCTTTGCTCTCTCATGCCGTGAAGCATGTCACACAGGATCCGGTTTCCTCCGTCCGTGGGAGAGAACGTGTGAACGGCCCTCAGTGCTGCCCCGAGGACGGATTGGAAACGCTGAAGTTGGTCAGCCCCCATGGCCATTACGTTTTTCTTGCTAATTGCTTCATTTGTTGCAAGTTCCCAGTTCATGTCTTCTGCACATTCCTTTCCAGTCTCTTTCTTTCTTTCTTTTTTTAAAAAATATATTTTTATTGATTTTTTACAGAGAGGATGAGAGAGGGATAGTTAGAAACATTGGTGAGAGAGAAACATCGATCAGCTGCCTCCTGCACACCCACTACTGGGGATGTGCCAGCAACCAAGGTACATGCCCTTGACTGGAATCGAACCCGGGACCCTTCAGTCCATAGGCCAATGCTCTATCCACTGAGCAAAACCAGTCAGGGCCAGTCTCTTTCTTATATGCATGTTCTTTGTTCGTTTTTATTTCTGGCCCAAACCACGCTGGATAGACCTCAGAGAACATGCCCTTCCCTTCGTCACGTCATGCAGCACAGACCTCTCCGTGTCGCCGCTATGGAGCCCTAACCTATCACTGAAAACACACACTTTCTATTTTAAAAAAGTTTTAGGTTTGTAGATGGGCTGAGAAGATAGTGTGAGTTTCTGTAGGCCTCTGTACCTTCGCCTTTCTCTGGAAGGGAGAGAGGAAGAGAGAGAGAGAGAGAGAAACACCAATGATGAGAGAGAATCATTGATTGGCTGCCTCCTGCACGTCCTACACTGAGGATTGAGCCCGAAACCTGGGCATGTGCCCTGACCAGGAATTGAACCGTGATCTCCTGGTTCATAGGTTGACGTTCAACCACTGCGCCAGGCCAGTGGGGCCTTTATTCTTTAGGGAGCAGGATTTTAGGTCAGAGAACTGGGAGTTTTGACCAGAACAGTGATGCTCTTAGATGGGACAGAAGCTTCTAGGGCCTGCCGTTGACTTGACCAGCCTGTTTGGTGTCTACCCGTTGTCAGACCCCGGATGTGCAGGGGTGGGTACACTGATACACAGGACACACACCTGTCTTCCAGTTTCAGCTTGTCAGGCCAATAGTAGAACTTGTTAGATATGCATGTTATTTTTAATTGTGGTAAAATACACATGCCCAAGTGTGCCAACTTAATCATGTTAAGTGTACGGTTGGGAGTATTCAGTACAGTCATATTGTGCAATTAATCTCCAGAGCTTTCATCTTGCAAAACTGCACCCACTAAACGCAGCACCCTCCTCCCTCCTCGCCCCGCCCCTCTGTGAATGTAACTGCTCTCAGGAACCGCGTGTCCGTGGAGTCACACAGTGTCTGGCTTATTTCACCTGGCACGACGCCCTCAAGGTGCGGGCACGTGGTTGCATGTGTCCGATGGACCTGCTGTGCGGACAGAGCCCGTGTGCTCATCCGGTCCGCTGCGGATCGTGCTTGGTGTGCTTCCTCCGCCCTTTGGCTGCTGTGAGGAAAGTTCCGGAACGTGGCTATAAACTTCTCTTCCCATCCTCGCTTTCCGTGTGTGTGGGTCCGTGCCCAGGAACGGAATGGCTGGGAAATACAATGCTTTTTTTGAGAACCTGCCGCACAGTTTTCTATAGCACCTGCACCACTCTACAGTCACATCAGCGTGCACAGGGTTTCAATTTACCCACAGCCTTGCCAGCATTGTTATTCTCTCTCTCTCTCTCTCTCCTCTGTCTTTCCCCCTCTCTCAGAAGCCACCCTGGAGGGGACCTGGTTTTCATTTGTATTTCCCTGCTGATTTCTTTTCATGTGTTAATTCACCAGTTGTTTCCTTTGGAGACGTGTCTGTTCAAGTCCTTTGCTCCTTTTTCATTAGGTTGTATTTTTCTGTTGCCGTTAAATTGGAGTTCTTTGTAGATTCTGGATGCTAATGCTGTATCAGATATGATTTATAAGTATTTGATGGTGTCCTTTGTTGTACAATTTTTTTAAAATATATTTTATTGATTTTCCACAGAGAGGAAGGGAGAGGGATAGAGAGTTAGAAACATCAATGAGAGAGAAATATAGATCAGCTGCCTCCTGCACACCTCCTACTGGGGATGTGCCCGCAACCAAGGTACATGCCCTTGACTGGGATCGAACCTGGGACCTTTCAGCCCGCAGGCCGACGCTCTATCCACTGGGCCAAACGGGTTAGGGCTACAATTTTTTTCTTTTCCTTTTGATGTGGCCCAATTTACCTACCTTTCCTTTCGTTGCCTGTGCGTTTGGTGTCATAGTCAATAAACCATCACCAAGTCCAGCATCGTACAGCTTTCCCCCTGCGCTTTCTTCTCGGAGTTTTCCAGCTTTTGGTCTGCATTCAAATCTTTGATTCATTCTGAGTTAATTTTCGGACATGATTTGTGAAAAGGAAGGGTCCAGCTCTGTTCTTCCTCACCGTCATCTGTTGACATGACTGTCCTTTCTCCATGGAGTGGCCGCGGCACCCTTGTGGGGGATCATTTGACCACGTGTGCGAGGGTTTGCTGGGATCTGCTCGGAAATGCTCTCAGTGAGTAGTAACCCGTGCACGTGTGTTTCTGCCCACGCCATGCAGGTAGCATCGCCTTGTTTGCTGTCATCACCGTGGTCCTCGGATGCCTTAAGGTTGGGTACTTCGTTGGGTTTTCTGACTGCTTGTCAGCCACCGAGGGCGTGTTCCCCGTCACGCACGCAGTGCACACGCTGGTGCAGGTACATCCCTGTTAGCTGTGCGGCCTCTGTATCCCAGGGTATCCTTTCCACGCGAAGCGCTTGACATTTGCTTCTGGAAGCTGGGGTAGGAACTGTCCACTGGGTGACGTCAGCAGGTTAACAGGAGCGAGGACAAGCGTCCATGCAACATCCTCAATTACCGTGACACCGCGACGAGGAGATGAGGCGACGAGGAGATGAGGCGACGAGGAGATGAGGAGAGCGACTTGCCATGCTGAGGGTGGGAGGCACGGGTGCCCCCGCATTCACACCCCTCCCCCTGAGCTTTAGTGCCCCTGCAGTGTGCGGACGTCGCGATAGTTCCCGCTGAGGCGCGCTTCTCTGATTCATTCACATCCAGGTGTACTTTCTTTGGGGACACGCCAAGGATGTCATCCAGTCTTTCAAAACCCTGGAAAGGTAAAACCGGGGACCAGTGCTTTGCACAGTGAGCCTGGGGTGCCTTTAGACCAGTGATGGCGAACCTTTTGAGCTCGGCGTGTCAGCATTTTGAAAAACCCTAACTTACCTCTGGTGCCGTGTCACCTATAGAAATTGTTTGATATTTGCAACCATAGTAAAACAAAGATTTATATTTTTGATATTTATTTTATCTATTTAAATGCCATTTAACAAAGAAAAATCAACTAAAAAAATGAGTTCGCGTGTCACCTCTTACACGCGTGTCATAGGTTCGCCATCACTGCTTTAGAGCAAACAGAACCCACCAGCGCCCTCTTGCTTGGGGTACAGCTCTGAGACCAACGCTCCCTCCATCCCAACAAGCAGAGCCTTTGCTCGTGGCCGGGGAGGAGGCCCTCAGACCTTCAGGCCCTTCCTGCAGGGACAGGGAGAGCGATACAGACATCAGTGAGGAGAGAATCACTGACCAGCTGCCTCCTGCACGCCCCCTACTGGGGATCGAGCCCGCAACCCCGGGCATGTGCCCTGACTGGGAATAGAACCGTGACCTCCTGGTTCATAGGTCGGTGCTCAACCACTGAGCCATGCCGGCTGGGCTTACTGTTAGCTATGCGTGTGTGTGTGTGTGTGCACGCACGCACACATGCGCGCACATGCGGTGTTTTTTTTTTAATGTGGCTACTGGAAAATGTAAGACCACACACGTGTGTCCTGTGTTACCTGTGTGTGGACAGCGTTGCTGTAGGCCGGGTACCCAGGCATTTCCCACCAGGGCCTCTCCTCCAAGGGGACTCTGAGGGGCAGGGGCGTGTCCTGCCCGGCCTTGCTGGTTGAGCGGTTGCACACAGTCTCTCTCTGCCTCTGCGCCTCGTTTCTAAACTGGCCAGTGAGTGGTTTGAACCAGGTACACATACAGCTTGACCCTGTTTTGCTTGAAGGACTAAGCGTTAAACATTCCTGAGTCACTTACCACCTCTAGGTGTTAGATTTAGACTTTCCTAGAAAAACGGGGAGGTTTGGCAAGCCCAGGGTGCCTGGCAGCAACGAGCTGGGGCTGAGCTGGAGCTGTGCCGCCAGATGGGGCCGCCCTCCGTGTGCTGCAGTCCCCACCCCTCCCTGACGTGCCCCAGACTCGCCTTCTCCATCCACATTTCCGGCCGCGCCCCCTACTGGGGATCGAGCCCACAACCCGGGCCTGTGCCGTGGCCGGGAATAGAACCACTGAGCCACGCTGGCCGGGCCAGAACAGGGTTTTTAATGTTTCCCCTCTGCCATCCTCCGTGGATTAGGGTTTCATTCCATGCTGGTTGCTTCACGGTCACAATATTGCTGCCCACACTCCAGCCTCCATGTCTACAGGCTGGGGAAAAAGGGAAGAATGGCAGTGTCTGCCTTTCTTATGCTTATCTTATTAAGAAAACAAACGCTTTCAGTACCTCACATCCCACTGCACCATGGCTATGCCTAGCTGCAAGGGAGGCAGACAGCAAGTCTCGGGCTTGGCCCAGTGTGGGCAGAGGCAGGTGACGAGGCAGAGAGGATGGATGATGATTGTTGGGTTGGCCAACCAACAGTAGTAGCGTTCCCAGCTCTCCTTTGTCCGCTGTAGCCCTGCCATCGTCCCCTCATTGTTCTCTCCCCTTCCCCTCGAGGTGAAAGGGCCTGGGGCATCGTAGGTTCATTGGCTGCTTTTAACAAATTCCCATCCTTGCATCCCTGGTTCCAAGACCCAGTTTCTTTTTGTCCCAGAGACAGTGAGTTGAGGCAGGTTCAAGGTTAAGGCGGAATGCTGAGGCGGTGGTTTGGGTAGTTCCCGTGGAACTGCTCCTCCCAGCCCGTCAGAGGACCCACCCAGGGACCGAGCTGCCAGATGAAACCAGGGTCCTGGCTAAGAAGGAGGCCTGTGTGCGTGCGTGTGTGTGTGTGTGTGTGTGCACGCGCACGCGTGTGTATGCAATGTCTGTGTGTTTTGCAGGTTCGGGGTGATCCACTCGGTGTTCACCAACCTGCTTCTGTGGGCCAACAGCGTCCTGAACGAGTCAAAGCATCAGCTGAACGAGCACAAGGAACGGCTCATCACCCTGGGCTTCGGCAACATCACCATAGGTGAGTGTGCGCGTGGCCGCTGTGCGCTGGCGCGTCCGGGAGACCTGCAGGCAGCACAACGTCCGTCCGGAGGACCACAGGGCCTGCCCGGCGCAGCGTCGGCCAGACAGTCCCCAACCCCCCGAGTCTGCCTGCTGGCTCCACGAGTGGGGGTGCTGAGTGTAATGAGAGGGTTCCTCCGTGAGTCAGGGCTTGTCAGACCCCAGGGTTATCATCTGGGTCACCCTCTGCACGGCCCAGGTCGGCACGGAGAAACATGACTTTGTGTACAACCGTGGAAGATTGGCGGTTGTGCCTGTCCGTGTTTAATTAAGCCTTTACAAGCCTTTAGTTCTTTCTACTGAAAGTATAGCTTTTAAAAACCCATAGCCGTCTAATGGTAGGTTTGGGTTCATTGGCTTTAGTTCATTTGAAGTTTGCATCGAGGTCTACTTGGCTTGTCATGTCTGCCCTCCCCGCCCCTCCTTGCTCCTGTGGGAGAGCCCGCAGCACTACAGCTTTCCGTTTTCTTGCCAAGTCCTTTAGCTCTTAAGGTCTGTCGCTCCGACACCGGGTCCCCGGGGTGGAGAGGACCGTGGGGTCGAGGAAGGCCCAGTGGGTCGGGGACCGGATTTGGGTCTTGTTCCCATCACACATCAGCTGTTGCTGTGCATTTCATTATTTGCTCCCAGCATGTTCCCTCCTGGTTAGGGAGCATGTCTTTGTAACGTGGCCAGTGCCCCCCAGAAGGTGGTGCACCCTGGCCCTCCTGCTGCTGGGGCTGGAGGTGCTGTCTTACGTCCCACCTGTCAGCATCAGATGGTCTCAAGAGGGAAATAGTTGCTGATGAGATGGGCCTTTTCCCTCACGGAGTTATTTTTAAATAATAATTTTTAAATCACACATGCAAATCAAATTCACATTGAGAGCTTAGAAGCACAGGGGAGCAACGTCTGAAGGAAGTCACGCACTCGGCACCATAGACTCACAGTGTTGAGTGTATCTCAGTAAAGCTGGGAAAAGGGACATGAAAGTTTCCTTTGCTGGAAAATAGAAAAGAAAAACCAGTGGCCATTTTCCTCCCAGAGATGACCGTTGTTAGCATTTTCATTTTTCTATGTCTGTCTGTCTGTCTGTCTCTCTCTGTCATCTGTAGATCTGTAATTTGCAAAAGCAGAGTCATGCTCTGGATGCTTTGGCAAGCTGCTTTAAAAAAAATGAAATTCTGCCAAAACCGGTTTGGCTCAGTGGATAGAGCGTCGGCCTGCGTACTGAAGGGTCCCAGGTTCGATTCTGGTCAAGGGCATGTACCTTGGTTGCGGGTACATCCCCAGTAGGAGATGTGCAGGAGGCAGCTGATCGATGTTGCTCTCTCATCAATGTTTCTAACTCTCTGTCTCTCTCCCTTCCTCTCTGTAAAAAATCAATAAAATATATTTTAAAAAAATGAAATTCTTTTTTAGAATATGTTTTTATTGATTTCAGAGAGAGGAAGGGAGAGGGAGATAGAAACATCAATCATGAGAGAGAATATAGATCGGCTGCCTCCTGCACGCCCTACACCGGCGGTTGAGCCCCACAACCTGGGCATGTGCCCTGACTGGGCATCGAACTGTGACCTCCTGGTTCATAGGTCGACACTCAACCATGAGCCACGCCTGCCGGGGGGCAAACTCCTTTTTGCTTCAACAATATCTTGCGAACATTTTTGTATGTTGCTAAGTAAATGTCTACATTTATAATAGATTGATAATGTAACATTCCAATGGATGGACAAAATGTGATTCATGTAATCAATCCTCTTTTGGGGATGTTCATGGTTGTCAATTTAGCCGTGATATGAAACATGATAATAAGCCGTGAAATCACGCTTTCAATTCCACGGGGAAACCCAAGCGAGCAAGCATCCATGATAAGGCCTTCGGCTTGTCCATGTCCCGTGGCCCCTCTCCTCCTAGTGCTGGATGACCACACGCCGCCGTGCAACTGCTCCCCGCCGGCTCTCTGCTCCGCCATCTCCCACGGCATCTACTACCTCTACCCTTTCAACATCGAGTACCAGATCCTGGCCTCCACGATGCTCTACGTCCTGTGGAAGAACATCGGGCGCAGGGTGGACAACCGTCAGCACCGTCAGCACCGGAAGATGCAGTTCTGGTTCCAGGGGGTGGCGGTGGGCTCGGGCCTGGGCCTGGCAGTGCTGGCCGCCACCATCGGGGTGGTGGCCGTGTACCTGATCCACATCGGCCGCTCCAAGACCAAGAGTGAGTCTGCGCTCATCCTCTTCTACCTGTATGCCAGTGCCCTGCTGACGCTCATGGGGGCCGCGGGGCTGGCCGGCCTCCGGCTTTACAGGCTCGACGAGCAACCACCGGACGAGTCCAGAAACCCGGCCCGCAAACTGGACGCGGACCTCCTGGTGGGCACGGCCTCTGGCTCCTGGCTCCTGTCCTGGGGCTCCATCCTGGCCATCCTCTGTGCCGAGGCCCGCCCCGCCTACACCTGGTACAACCTGCCCTACTCCGTCCTGGTCATGGTGGAGAAGTACATCCAGAACCTGTTCATCATCGAGGCCACGCACCGAGCGCCCGGCATGCCCGGCGAGGACATCAGGGCCCTGCACGTGGCCGTGGTCTGCAATGGCAGTGACGCGCCCCTGGCTTCTTCCTGCCCCAAGAGTGATGCTGTGGCCCGGGACCTGGGCAGCCAGATGCCACCGGCAGCCAACGGAAGTCTGTGCCTGAGAGAAGTCAGTGGCCCGGGGGAGGCCGAGCCGAGCTGGGCAGGGGCCCGGGGCCCGGCCTGCCGCCCCCGCCTCTTGCAGGGCAGCACCCAGAGGAGCGTCCTGAGGAACATTGCAGCCTTCTTGTTCCTCTGCAACATCTCGGTAATCTGCCCCCCTCCTTCCCCAGGCCCTGCATCCTCCGGGGTCTCTAGAACCTACTGCTGCGCACGAAATGACCCCCCCACTCGGCAACGTAAACGCACCCACATTGTTTTCCAGGGTGTCTCTGGGTCAGGAATCCAACCCTCGCTGGGCGCCTCTGCTCAGGGCCCCTCACGGGGGCAGTCCAGCTGCCGGCCGGGCTGCGATCACTGCAAGGCTTGACTGTGGGGTGGGGAGGGGACCGTTTCCAACCCACCTGTGTGGCTGCTGTCAGGACGCAGATCCTTGCTGATGGCGGGCCCGAGACCTCGCGGTCCTGGCCACGTGGCCTCTCCTAGGGCAGTCACCACGCAGCAGCCGCCTCCTCTCGTGAAAGAGGGGATGAGCGAGGCGGTCCCAGGGTCCTCGTAACCTAATCCCAGAAGTGACCCCCTCTCTTTGTCCTATTCTGTTTGTTGGAAGCGAGTCCCTAGGTTCAGCACAACACGAGGGGGGCGGGGCTCCGTGAGGCTGTGACTCCCAGGAGGGGGTCCCAGGGGTCATCGAGAGGCTGCGTGCACCTCGTGGGAGGGAGAGCTGCGGAGGCGGGTGGTGGGACTGAGAAGCGGACAGACGGAGCCTGACATTTAAGGGGGGGTGGGGGGATGCGGAGGAACAGGGACAGGGAGACCGAGGAGGGGGACCAGTGCGTAGGTTCCATGAGCAACAAAAATAATAGTTTTTGCAAATTAGTTGCCATTGTATTCTCATCGGAGCCTCCGAGGCAGGTGTTAGTATTCCCATCTTACAGATGAGGAAACTGAGGCTTGAAGAAGTTGTAGCCTAGAAGTAGCATGAGTAGCATGAACTCAGGTCAGGCTCCAAAGCAGGTGCGCCTCCCCCTGACCAGGAGGAAGCGGGCAGGGTCTGGGCTGCCTCTCTCAGCCAAGGACAGGCCAGAGAGGAGACCACAGAACTCACAGCCCAGACCTGTGTGGCTGAGGTCTCCAAGCACCAGTGTAGGTACGTGCAGGTGGGTGAGACCAACAGGCAGCCTGGGCCCCGGGAACACAGCAGGAGTTCCTGCCCAGACTGGTTACATCCAGGAGGGCTTCCTGGGAGAGGTGGTGTCTCAGGACTTGGAGGAAGGTAGGGTTTAGCAGAGGGAAGCCAGGTGTCCCTGATAGAGAGAGAGGCAGGAGCCAAGCCCTAAAGACCCGGGAAAGGAAGGCACATTGGGGCCCGCACAGCCCTGGTGCAGAGGCTGTGCATCACTGACAGGCGTGCCTCAGGCTCCCTGCCCAGTGGCCCGGGATTGGCCGGGGTCTCCTTGGAGGTGGCCAGCACGGTCTCCTTCTCTTGCAGCTGTGGATCCCCCCCGCCTTCGGCTGCCGGCCCGAGTACGACAACGGCTTGGAGGAAATCGTCTTTGGCTTCGAGCCCTGGATCATCGTGGTCAACCTGGCGATGCCCTTCTCCATTTTCTACCGAATGCACGCAGCTGCCTCCCTCTTTGAGGTCTATTGTAAGCTCTAGTCTGCGTCCGCCTGAAAGGCCGGGGCGAGGGGTGCGCACGCGAACAAGGGCGCTCCCCGGAGCCACCTGGGGTGCCCAGGCTGGGCAAATATTGCCTTACAGGCTCCAGGCCTGTCTTTTGTCTGCCGGGGTTGTTTCCCGCGGTTTGGGTGGCCCGTCATCCCGGGTGAATGTCAACAAGTCAGGTCAAAATCGATGAGGCGGCTGAAATCCATCCTCGTTCGTTCATTCTAGTCAAAGCCCATTTTATCTCCTTCTAAACGAGGGCCTCTGTTTTTGAAGACTGTGATCCTCGCTTGGAAAAATGTTTATCCAGTTTGTTTTTCATCAGAACCACCCTGTGTTTGCCATTCGTCCTGTTACTACATTCAGCCTTTTGCTGGCCATCTGCGTAGGCTAATCACCGCATAGATCCACCCTCCCCGGAGCTGGCGAATGTCGATCCGGTCACATTTGCTCTCTATTGTACTTTCTGCATGTGGTTAAATTTCTAACCAAGTTATTTTTATGGTTTGGATGGAAATTCGTGCATCGATCCATCTAAAGACATATTTCTTACCTGGATCTTGGCACATTTTCGTTTGTGATCATTGTGAAGTTTTTAAAAATACCTGTTTTACTGTCTTCTCTCTCACTGTGAGCACACACATGCTTTTTATAGAATGTTTGGAAAGGCCAGAAGACCAGAGAGACAGGAATCACCCAGAATGCCACTGGGAAGCAGACAGCCACCCTGACGTCTCAGTGTATCTTAGCTGTGGGCGCTGCGATGCTTTTCATCGCTGCTATGGTCCCACTTGCCAGTGGCGACGCGACAGCGCCAATTTTGTACACATTTCCCCCACTTACCGACCTGCCATAGCCCGCTCTCCCGTTGCTACCCGTGCTCTGTAAGTGTCCTGTTAATGCTGTACATAGTCTGCCCAGGGAATGTGCCGTGACTGACGCGGTTTTCTAGTGCTGGCTTTAGTGCCTATCACTTTTTGCTTTTATGAGTGACCCTGTGGAGATTAACCATAGTTGTAAAGCCTCTTCTACATGTAGAATTCTTCGTGAAGGTGTGTACGTACGCTTAGAATGCCTCGTCTAAAGGTCGTGGCTATCTGAAAGCCTCATGAGGATACGGACGGCTGGGAGGCCATTGTATGTGCTTTTTTATACTTATTTTAAAATCATAATAAAGTTAGTTTACTTACTATACATATGAACATCTTTTCATCTGAGTGTGTTTTGTTTTTTTTGACAGCACAGGCAATGGGACATTAAGAAACACTGAATTTTTTTACACAATTAAAGTACGTTATGTTTATTTTAGGAAAAAAACACAACTAAAAATGGGCAGATATGCTAAAAACAAAGGGAAACATCACTGAGGGCGATGGCTCTCCAGCGGCTGCAACCTGTTCCCTCGGGACCTACAGTGATGTTTGCAGATGTTTCCGTGGCTACCATTAGGGGGTGTCGCTGGCATCTAGTGGGTAGAGGGCTGGGTGCTGCTAAAGTTCTGCAATGCACAGACGGGCCCCCACCACAGAGAGTTATCTGGCACCAAATGTTCATAGTGCTGAGATCGAGAGATGGTGATGTAACCCGGCCTGTGTGGCTCAGTGGGGATCTTCAGGAGGTGGCCTGGTACTCCATCTTCTCCTGCCAGTCCCTTCCTCTGCCTCCCTCCCCCAGGCACCCATGGGCGCTGCTGCTGCAGCCACACATGTCTCCCTCCCTTACTTGACCATCCTAACCTCTTCTGTGCCCCGGGACCTTCGCACGTGCTACCCTCTCTTGGGCGTGTGTTTCTCTGGCTCCTTGAAACGGATCAGCCTCTTTCTCATCCTTTAGGCCATGTGGGAGGTCCCTACAGAGTGAGGTGTGCTCTGGCCATATATATATTTTAATCCTCGCCCAGGGATATGTTCCCATTGATTTTTAGAGAGAGAGGGAGGGAAAGACAGATATATCAACGTGAGAGAAACACATCGATGGGTTGCCTACTGCACGAGCCCCAAGGAGCCTGCCACTGAGGCAAGTGCCCGTGACTGGGATTGAACCCAGACCCTGTGGTCCGCAGGCTGGTGCTCTATCCACTGAGCCACCCCGGGTAGGGCTGCTCTGGCCATCTGCATGCACACACTCCCTGTCATACGTCACCTTTTACAGGAGTAGTTTATTCTGTGTGCTTGTCTCTCCTGGAGAGAACTGTCCACCTTGTGAGAGCAGGGACTTGCCCCTATCTCTCCCAGGGTCCCCCCACACGGTCACATGTGCTGCCCTCACAGCCCCGGACTATTGCAGGGCGTGGGGCTGCGCCGGGAACACAGTGGGCCCCGGGATTGGCAAGTTTCCTGGAATAGTCGGTAAGACCTTGGTGGAGACTCTGCCAGTTTCTGGTGAGCGGCCAGCCCTCCATGCGCCTGTAAGGCACCAGGTGGCGCTGGAAGCCCGGCTGGCAATGAAGAGTTCAGCAGAGCCCGTGGGTGTGGCTCAGCCGGGGCGAGGGGTGCACATTAGAATCACCTGGGAATCTTTTAAAAATCCTGATTTCTAAGCTTCATCCTCCGGAAATTCTGTTTCTTTATTATGGGGTGGGGCCACAACATTAGTAACAAAGACACAGAATTTCCGGAGGATGAGGCCCAGAAATCAGGATTTTAAAGAGATTCCCAGGTGATTCTAATGTGCAGCCAAGATTGAGAACCACTGCATTAGAGAATTAAATGTCTTTATTGTATAAGCCATGAGCAGTCACGTTTTCTGGTACTCACAGCTGAAGGCAGTTCTAATCAATATATTCATTTAAGATTTCTTTTATTCTGAGATAATTTCAAACTTATAGAAGAGTTGTACGACCTTGCCAGCTGACCACAGACCAGTAGTGAGAAACAAGTGTTTGTTGTTTTAGGCTACTAAATTGGGGGGGGTGGGCTGTTTGTTATGCAGCATTATGATAACAAAACCTGACAAATACCAACTTACCATTTCCTAAGTACAGCATGTCGTTTATTCATAATAGCTCTGCATAGTAAATATTGATGTTAGCATAAAAAATTTCATTTTAAGTTACAGTCGACATTCAGTATTATTATATATTAGTTTCAGGTGTACCACATAGTGGTAGACAATTACATAATTTGCAAAGTGATCCTCCCTATAGTTCAGGTACTCACCTGGCACCGTATAGAGTTATTACAATACTAGAAGCCCAATGCACAAATTTGTGCATAGGTGGGGTCCCTTGGCCTGGCTGACAATCAAGCGTTATTGAGGGGCGGTGTGTGGCTGGCCAGGGGGAGGGACCCCGGGAGGTTGGCTGGCTTGGGGGAGGTTGGCCAGCTGACTCCCCTCCCCCACCATCGGGGTCAATGCAGGGGCTAGCCAGGAGGATGGGCTGTGGGAGGTTGGCTGTGGGAGCACACTGACCACCAGGGGGCAGCTCCTGCATTGAGCATCTACTCCCTGTTAGTCAATGTGCATCATAGCAACTGGTCGACTGGTTGTTCAGGTTGTTGTTTGGTTGCAGTGCATATCATAGCGACTGGTTGACCAGTTGGCTGTCTGCCCCCTGGTGGTCAGTGCACGTCATAGTGAGTGGTTGAATGGCCTTAGCATATCATTATCATATTACACTTTGATTGGTTGAACAGTCAACTGGTCACCAGATG